GCTGTCCGGGATGGTGATCTCCCAGAACAGCGCCGCTCCGAGCGAAGCTCCGGCGAACATCAGCCAGCAGCGAAGATCCGCCACCGGCCCACACGGGCTCTGCTCCCGGTACAGAACCCTGGTTCCGGTGCCATACACCGCTGGAAGCAGACTGTAGGCTGTGATGAACCGGACCAGCAGCGGGTTCGGGTCTCCCAGAACCAGCAGAGATGTGATAGTAACTGCTGACCATCGCAGAGCTGCTGAAAGCCACAGATGCGCCAAATGTCCCAAAACTCTGTGAATCCCAACAAACCCTGCTGCGTAAAATAAAGAAAGATCAACAAAAACTGCTAAAGTCAAAGCGAAGACTTTGTGAATTGTTGTTCGGTCTTTTCCTGCCATGTTTCAGCTGCAAACGTCCTCATATAACCTGCTCTGCTGCAGAACTGCAGAACTCTCAGCGCTTTCAGTTTCATTTTCTGGTAAGTTTAGGGGTTTCCCGTAAATACAGTGAAGGGCTAAATAATGAAGGTCACCAACTAATCATTATTTTCTTCTGCAATCACCATTAAATTGTCCAGATTTGCTGAACTATTAATATATATTATTTTTGAGAAGCCTTTTTAATATTTAATAAAGATGGGAGTTTAAACTGAACATACTAACTCTGCTACTCTATCTGTTTTATATATCCATATTTATAACTTGGCATAAGTTTGGGGGACATTTTTATAGACCACTAAATTTAATAAAATAAAATAGAAGCCAACCCCAAAATAAGAAAGGTTTTAGACAAAACCTACAGAATGGTCATAAACAAAATATAGTACACAGATGAAAATTACAAAATAATGAATAATAACGTGGTGAAGCTATTTAAATACAATTTACAGATATTTTATTGTGAATATCAGCTTTTAACAAGGTGAAAAGAAGTAGATGCTCAGTTAAGCTTTAACTCTTCAGTGAAATACACCAACTTAAATCCATTTTTTCTCCCCTTAATCAAATGAGATACATTTGTTTTAATAAGTAAAGAGATGAGAATGAGTTTTATTTTTTATTATTATAATGAATGTCAACAGTACACTTATTGCTGTGCTGAGAAAGACAGCTGTATCACTGATCAAAGAAAGTTGGTAGGTCATTTCCCAGAATGACTTTCTCCTCTGTGTTGTGTTCATCAATGGTGACCAAGTAGGCCACGCCACCGCTGGAGCCGTCACGGTTCATGGCCAAAGAGAGAGCTGGAGGAAGGGAAGAAGAGCAAAAAACAATTTGACAGGTGAAACTGGACATTCAGTAATTTCTTCATCTCAAACCGTTATAATTATAAAATGAAAATAACATTTTTGTAACACAGCAACAGTAATAACTTACTGTTAACCACAAACTGCTGGCACTCCTCTTTGCTCATTCCTTTTCGATACTCAGCATCAACAAATCCATAAACATAGGAGCTGCCTGAGCCGCCAACAGCGAAAGGCTGTCTGGTCAGAAGCCCGTTCAGGGTGGCAAAAACCTGCAAAAAAAAATAATGATAATAAAAAAACTAGATTAGTGTTACATTGAATGCAACTGAGTGTAATCAGTAAAAATTAAGTGGCAGTGTTACAATAAACTCATGTTGTACCAAATGCCATCAGATCACCAACCTGTCCTCCATCTTTTTTGTCCCAGCCTGCGACAATGAGATGAGCTGACAGCTCCTCCTTGTATTTGTATGAAATGTTCCTCACCAGAGTGGCACCTGATCGAACCTTCGGGTCTTCTCCTATTTCCATACTGACAAAACACATAATATTGACAGAGTCACAGATCTAATCACTGCTACACCTTTACAAAAACGTAAGGCTCTGACTAAAATAATAAAAATCAAGTTTTAATGAGTAAGTTCACTAAATAAAATTCCTCATAAATATTGATGTATTGCAGTAGCTCTTAATAGAAGTTATGTGTTATTTAATTTAATAATTTAAATTAATTTAAGTTGCTTTAAATCTTTTTTTGTTTTTGTTTTTCCATGTCCTGGAAATATGTAGAAATTGATAGGAAGTAGCATAACTTAAACTTGAGGATCAGCACCAAGTTTTATAGAAAAATATTAAGATTTTATTTTGTGGTTCTAAAGGCTCTACGTTGAATACAATAAGCAACAAAGACATACTTTTTTTTTTACTGTCAGCTGCTTTGGAATAACTACTGCTCTGCTACAGAGCTGTCAGCTAGTGGTAATGCTCAGACCCTTCAAACTCTTCTTATTAAAGTAAGAGTTCAAGAGCTAAATACAATTGAAATATTGGCTACCTTTGACAGAAAAAAGAGTTAAGTCTATGGAAGCAATGTAGCCAGTTTAGCTAGTCTGACTCAGGCTCAACGTGGCAGTTTATCATGATTCAGCAAAGTAATAAAATAACAAACTGCAGCCTGATTTTTATTGTTAATGTATTTCTTCTTATTAAGTAAATAAAATGTGTAGCACGTATTTTTCTTTAAGTATTTACTGACTAGAGGGCTTTTTTATTTGTGCTGCAGAGCCACAGCTAACAGCTAGCTTCTCATTTCAGATATATGTTGGTCATGTTCAGATAATAGCCGGGGACATAAAAATTCATTCTTAATTTTTTTCTTAGATGAATGGCAGATTTATTTAGTTCTTTGTTTCTATTGCCTTTTCATATTGATATTGTTTAAATACAAAGGTTTGTTTTATGATTTCTTTGGGGCGACAGTTCTAGACTTTTCCAAGATTGGGGGATCCGGACCCCACTCAGCCCCCTTTGATTTCCGCCCATGGTACCTATTCCAGATTTGATCCCGACCATCTATTTCGAACTTAGTGATACCCAAGTTTTTCTCACATGAACATATTGTTCTAAAATCCACAATACATGAAAGCAGTTTTTATGACAAATAAGCCACAGTCCAGCAAGACAAAGGATGCCAAACAACAATAAAAAAAATAAATCCTTTGATTTTTATGTAAATTAAGGCAAGGTGAGTATTTTGCTTGTACAACATCTGTTTCTCTGTTTAGATCGTTTGCAGGTATGTTTTAGAATGAATAGTATTTACCTGTGGACATCGAGCTGGTAGTTGACTGCCTCAGCAATTGTTTGAGCATCTGCTGCAGATCCTGACAGGGCACAATATATCTTATCATGAAGTGGAGACAATTTATTCATCACCCTGTTAACCACCGACTCCCTGGAAGAGGAGATGAGATAAAATCAGCAGACATTAACTATTACTGGTATATAATCTGTTAAAATGGAGAAGATAAATTTATGATATTCGTTTAAGTACCTAAAAAGCTCATTTTCCAAAATTTTTTGAAAAGTAAACCAAATAGGCTTGGTTGGCCACAAAATTAGCCTGCAATCCTACATGTGGAGTTATCAAGACAAAAATTAGAAACACTAGATCCAACAATGCAGATGACCTGCAAAGTTGTTTAACACTATTAGGGATTATATTCCACCTCAGCTGATCCACAGGCTGACAGACTCCATGCATCACCTCATTATTGCAGTAATTAATACAAAATGATGCTCCATGGTAAATAAATATCCTGCAGGTCTTTTGAATGTTAGGCTTTCATAAAGTTGGGCCAGATTTTAGAAAAGCCTGAAAGGGACCCTCGCAGATGTTTTAATGAATTAACTTTGTACAAATATTTTGGGACTTTTATAAATATAAACAATACTAAAGTATCTGAAAATTATGAAGTTATAGTAAAAATATTTTAGGAACAACATGAAGCTAGGGAACATACTAAATCAGTTGATGCCTCCTGATGTATAGGACTACTTATTAATATACTATAATTTTCATGTAATAATTTTTCCTTTGTGGATGGGGTATCAAAATTGTCTTCAGCACAGGGAATGACATCCCTGTAAATCTGACCCTGGCTGTAATCCATTAAAGTAAGAGTAATCATAAAATAAGAATTAAATCAGTGAGCAATGTACCTATAATACAGATTATTTCAGTAAAAGTACCAAATTAAGTCAGCTTTTCAGTGATATTTAGTTTGATGCACCTCATGATCCTGAGCACTAACTCACCCAGCAGACACTCTGGAGTCAGACCCTAATACGACGCCTCCATTGAACTCTATAGCAATGATGGTTGTCTGGAATCAGAAAAAAGAGCAAGTGTTCAAAGAAGAATGCCTCTTCATTGTAACTTTACATAAGTAATAAATGCTGATGTAGTACAAAAACAAAGTGGGTTTTAACCCCTTCTCCTCTCTTTGGCTGTACCCCTACAATATATCTTTGCTGAAAGTCCTGCTCCACTGACTGTTCTGCAAATTTTCTACATGTATGAGAAAAAATGCTCTGCGTTCACATGATATGGTGGTGCGTGTATGAGAAACACATACCCCGAACAACTGCATGTTGTTAAATCAGTCGGACTGTTGTGTGAAACCTACGTGGTGTTAAAATGCGTAAAACGAGCAGCTCACTTTGCCCTTAACGAAGCTTCTCAAATATAAGCTGTCAAAAGTCGTTTACTTACCCCAGTTTTCACTTCTTCAGACAACCACTGTGGCTCCGTTTCTCCCAACATGGCAGACTCTTTTTAACGACGACGCCGAACTGGATTAGTGTAATTTACCAAGAAGCTGATTCTCACACTGACGCGCAAGGAGCAGCCCCTGTTTGCAGCGGTTCACTTGTTTTAGAAAATGATATGTAACGCTCAAAAGCAATTTAAGTTGCACACCATTCCATTATTAAAACATCAGACAGACTCCATTTTTTCCTGCGCTAAAACGAAATTGAAAGTTAAAACAGTTCTGCTTTGTAAACCAGTCAGCACTCCCTGAGCTTTAATGTGCAACATTTTAAAGAGTTTGCTGAATTTAGTACATAAAATACATCAATTCTCTCAAAAATAATATTTTAGCTTATTTAAATTGTAGTGCAATCAAGATATTAATAGAAATAATGATTGTATATTTGGTAAAAAAAAAATAAAAAAATAAAAAAAAATTAAAAAGCACGAGGTCTTGGAAAAAATGCTTTATTTTCTTGGATAAAGATATGTATTCAAATGGAATTGATTTTTTTCTTCATAGACTCAACTGTCACTTATTAAACAACAGAGACACCTGTCTTTCACACAAGATCCCCAATTTTTTACTTAAATGACACTAAGCTTGCTCACCTAACATGAAATGGAAAGTTTTTCCTTGTAGCCAATATCTAAACAGAACAAATGAGTAATTCTAAGAGATCATTCCAAAAATTCAAACATGTATGTAAAACTAAATCATAAAAAATTGTTTATTCATCATGGAATTGTGGCAGTTTGTCTCCAGGTACAACAACATGCTCCACCCCTTTTTCTGTGATCACCACCAGGTGAACAACACCTCCGCTGACGTTGTCCCTCCCCATCGCCAGAGCAAGAGCTGCGGAGTGAAAAGAGGAAATACATAGGTCAGGTTCAACAGGCATGAAGTACTGATAATACAGTAATAACATCAACCAGTTTGATTCAGGTTAAAACATGTAGGATACATTCTGATTCCCTTGCTTATGAATCATCTCCAGCATCCATCATTTTCTGAAATATATAAATTTTGATCTTTCACTAAGCATTAGCTTTTCTTCTGTCTTATGTTATCACATTATTTTTTAAAGAATTAAGCTGCAGCTACCAACCAAACTTAAAATTTTGAAAGGCACTCTGTTACAAATTCAAAGTAAATTGCTATAGGAACTGAATCAGTAAACTATACCATTGGTGGCAAACTGCACACATTCCTCTCTGGTCATGTTGGGTTTGTATTTAGCGTCAACGTATCCGTAGATGTAGGTGCTTCCTGAGCCGCCGATGGTAACCTGCTGATTGAGTAACATCCCACCCAGAGCCACAACATAAACCTGCAGAGGGAACATAAATATCAGACGTGAAGCTAAGTATACTGCTGGTAAGTAGAACTTTCCTGCTATTATTCTATTTTGCTCCTTTGCCACACTGAAACTTTCAGGTCATGAAGTAACTTTTATTGTCAAACAGAAAGATAAATTACATTAGGATTCCTTTTATTTAAGAAAGAAAGTTATGCAAACCAACCTGTGTCAGTTCATGGATATTGTGTTTTTGAGTCTCAATGTGTTTGGATTTTTTTATTTCATTATTGTCATTATGAGGTTCCCATAAGCTTCTTCCTTTTGTGTGCCTCAGTTTTTTCTTGTAATTTATTCTATGTGGATTTAGTTTCTACTCTTGGTTCTGTGAGTTGTTTCAGTATTAAAATGCTTCAGTCTTCACTTTCTGCATTTGGCTTTTAGTACAGAGATATGAGACATGACAATCTGGTCCTGTGTGACAACAAAATGACCCTCCTCCCAGTTGACAAATCATAATTTAACTATAATGTACTGTATTATTTTGTAAACAAAGTTTAAATTGACTCAAAGTGCATAAATCATCCAACCAGTAGGTCACAAAAGAATCCAGAATAACATCTAAAGCACATCACGCCTCACTAACTCAGTTAAGGTTGTAGTTAAGGATTCAACACTAAGAAAAAGAGACTGGGGGGAAATACACCATTTTTGACAGTTCCCAGCCCAAACCACTGCTGAAGACTTTTTGGAAATGTGCTCTCGCCCTGAAAATCCTGAAGGAGGGAACTCGGCCATTAGATGTGACTTTGAGTTCTAGAACACTTGAGTTGAGCAGCAGGCGAGTGATCCAAAAGATGGCAGAAAAACACCATTTGAACAAAATGGGTTAAAATAATGGAAACTTTGGAATGGCCTAGACAAAGTCTAAATTTAAATCTCAGAAAGATGATGTGGTTTCACTTTAAGAAAGTCCCTCATGCTTGAAAACACTCCAGTGAGTCTGAATTGAAAATAATTCTGGTAATTAGGTTGAGTTAAAATTTCTCCTAAGTGATGTAGGAAACATGCTGGCAGGATTTGCAAATACTTGACAACTGTTTTCTACCAACAGGTAAACAATCAACTATTAAGTGAAGGGGGCAATTCATTTTTCACACAAGATCAGTAGATTTTTTTTCCTTATTAAATGACATCATAATTTGATATTTACATTTTGATTTATGGAAATGTGGATTTATGTGTGTGTGTAAGTTGGGGTAGGAAGGTTGTGAGCGATTAGCTTTTCACCGATCACCAGTGACGGACCTGAGGTCCATTCTTCCTGTCCCAGCCGGCTGTCATGAAGCCGGCCTGCAGCTCCTCTTTGTTTTTGTAACACAGGTCCTTCAGGACAGACGCTGCAGCGACCACAAGAGGAGGACTTTCCATCTGAACACTTTTCCAGATCAAAAAAAGAGACGAGAGACAAATAAGAGAGAGCAGGAAAGAAATAAACAGATGTACATAATCTGGAAAAGGTGAAGTTAATAACAATTATATAATCAATGTGCTAATTTCTATGTAATATTATAATATATATTAAAACTAAAACTGTTTTCTTTTGGGGTGGTTACTTCAGTGTTCACTGCAAAAAGAAAACAGGTGACCCAAGTTTTAAAAATTGAGTTAATTTGCTACAAGAAATAAATTACATTTATCCAAGTGAATATATTAAGTTTAGAAAGTTGTCACGTTAAACAAATGTAAATACTGTAAAGTAGGTTTGACAAACTTAATTTGATTACATTAAACAGAATTAACTCCAACTTAAGTTTTTCTGAACTTGGAGCTTCATTCTCTTTTTTCAGTGTTTAGGTGGTGAATTATGAACACTGACTTTTGCATTTCTGTCAATGTTTTTGTGTCAAATTTGCAATTTGACACAAAAACATTTGAGCCAGAAAATTGAGAGTCACAACTTGGTCTGCTTTCCTCTAAAAACTAAAATATGGTAAGCAGTACCGTATTTTATATAATATCTGTATTAAATGACATCTGTCACATGTCAGAAAGCCTTGAATACCAGGCTATTCAAGCAATAAGCCTTGAATACCAGGGTTGATGACCACTCAATATAACATTTAAGGTTATATTGTCAATGTATTTAACGTCCAAAGCAAATTAACAGGTGGCCTGGTTAAACTTAAATCTGCTGTCTTAGTAACAACATAACTGTGACCTGAGTGTGTGTTTGTGTCTGTGTGGTAAAGATTAAAAGAAAATATAGAATCAAATGTTCTCAACATAAACTGTCACTGGACATAATGCTGTGAATGTTTTTAGGTGTGAGTACCTGTGGAAGGACAGGTGGGACTTTGCAGCCTTTGTGACGGCTTGAGCGTCTGCTAGTGAACCAGCGATGCAGCAGAAAATCCGGTCATGAACCTGAATCACCTTGTTGATGGTTTTAGAAGATACATAATCCCTGAACAAAATCATAGGACAGAAAGGCATTTCATTCAGAATTAGGATCATACTTTGCATAAAAATGCAATCATGAAACTAATAAGAATAATGTGTTAATTTTGTCAGTGTAAATCAGTTCAACCAGATTTCATAATTTTCCCCTTCAAGTTTAGTTTCTCCACATCATTTATTTAAGTAAATCATTATAATTTATCTGTAAAGCCTTTGGGACAACAACAACAATTCCTCCTCTTATAGAAAACATGAAAATATGTCTTGTTTTCACACTTAAGTCCAGCAGTTCTACTCAAATGTTGACTAACTTTCTGTTAAACATTTTTTTATCAAGATGTTTTACTTTCATGCCACTTTATATCAGATGTAGCCACAGAAATGCCAATTACCTCAGACATTTTTCAAACTTTACAATTTACAAGTCTAGAAAAACAAATGATGAAAAAAGTAAAAGACGCTTTATCATAAAATAAAAACATCAAAATAATCTTTAGACAGGTTAGTCTGGCCTATAATAAAACTATTATTTCAGTATCTGTTAATGCAGTGTGTTTGAAAATTGGAATATTTAATGTTGGAATATTTTTGTTTTATTGTTTTTTATATTTCCAGTATTACTTTTTCATCTGTCTTTTTTTACCACTTTTTTTGGCATTAAATTTATTTGAAAATCTAAACTAAAGCTTGATAAGTAGCAAAGCCTATATAGTACAGTTGTTCATTTCATATGCATTTTATTGCTTATGAAATGAACAGTAAAACTGATCATGCAGCATATTCATCATTATTGTTTACATCTCGCTGAGAATGAAACTGGAGTCCAGTTTGTCAATTGAGGAAGATTTTTTTATTTTATTTACCGAGTGTCTTCAATTTAACCATAGATCAACAAACATGCAGGATAAAGGAATAATCAAATGGACTAAAAATGATATAGTGTCAAAAGTAAATATATTGATTACAAAGAAAACAATCTCAATATAAATATGTTCTGTCATAGACATGATATTTATTTATTTTAAAATGTTGCTTGGCTATAGATTGAATGAATCCACTCTCTCATCTGCTTTTAGAGCAGTGGACCACAAATTGATGCAAAAAACCTGCCATTCCTGCATCATATGTGTCCCTGTTCCAGCAGACCTCATTCAAATGATTACCTTACCAAAGTCCCATGAAGTTTTAAATTCATTTATAGGAAGAGTGTGACAATAAAAAACTATAAGCCTTGAATATCAGGATTGAGGACCACTGCTCTTCATATACCAAGAGTTTGGGGATTTTTTTCTATCTCTCTATAAATTTTGAGCTACCAGAATCAGTAATGTATGTGTGTAAAACAGAAGCATTCTTGTCATATATTCACAACATGCCTACCCTCCTATTGACGCTCTGGAATCTGACCCAATCACAACTCCTCCATCAAAGATTGCAGCCAGGATGGTGGTCTGAAACAAAAAAGTTAGAAAACTGGTGATAATTTTATGCTTTGATCAATACATGAATAATAAGGAAAGGATTTATGAATAAGGGACATTTTCTCCCTGCTGAAGCAAATTTAAGGATCGCTTTCTCTCTGCAGCGGCACACGTTTGCGAGGAATTCTGGGACTTGGAGTTTTGACTTTGAATACTTTAAAACAGAAAAAAGACTAAAACGCGAATTGAAGCCCTGTTTTTTATTTTACAGAAACTACAAGAAAACGGTCAGGCGTTTACTTGTCAAGATTCATAATTAAATATTGAACGGATTCGTTTCACGTTGTTTTAGGTGAGCTGCTCCTCAAACTGTTCACCTGCTCACACGTAAAAAGGTTACTGGTCATCCGTCACAACATGCTGCATCAATTGTGAATAAAAGTTAACCTGTCCTGATTTACTCACCCCTGTGCTGACTCCTTTGACTTTTGAGTCCGTGTAGTGTTTCTCCATTTTCTCTGTAAAATCGAAAGAAAGGAAGGAGCCGTGACGCTCAGAACAGAACAGCGACCTCAGGCGCACCGAGACGCGCAGGGAGCCGCAGAAACATCCACTATGGCGCTGTCAACTGTCCTCGAAACTCCCGCAGCGGGGTTCAATTTCGAAAACGCGATTAGGTATGGCCTTTGTTTGTCTTTAGAGTATTTTATAATCGTTAATTTAAGATAAAATCAAAAGTAACCTGGATGTTCTGGGCTTTCTTCGGTATCAAAAGTGAAACTAACTTTTTCCTGCTTATTTATTAGGTTGACAACAACAATGTGATGGCGTGTATACGCTTCTATGCTCTAGTTATAAATGGTTACAATCAGTAACTAGTACCACTAACTAGCTTCCTCCGTTTCCCTCTAGAAATGCTGCGTTAGAGAGCCTCCTTAATGGCGCACAGACACCAAAACCTCTGAAAACTGGCACTACAATAGCAGGAGTTGTGTTTAAGGTGCGTAACGCGGTTTAAACTGCAGCATTAAAATATTTGTTTATTAGAGACTATACATTGAGTCATTATGAAAACCTGACTAATTACTGAGTAAACTCATCACATTTCAGCACCCCTGAGTTTAACCTCTAGCTATGACCCAAGAACATCTGAGGTTGATGTCCTTTAACGTTTTAGTTGATATCTGCAGCTGTGTGAATTCAGGTTTTCAATGTGATCAGAATCAGTCAGATTGATATCTGGTTAATTTGAGCATATTTTGTTCTGTCTAATGAGACCTTTCCAAACTTTCCAAATCTGCTAATATAGCTAATAATTTATTAATTATCAGATCCTAGAACATAGAGTAATTGTTTCTGCAGTGTAATTGTTTATGTACAATGTAAAATGTGTATGTAGTGGGAATGTCTTATCTTCCCAGTTTTGTCCTTTGCAAAACAGTTTTCTAATAATTAACCAGTGCATAGTTTTAATCAAACTAAAATATTAAAAACAATTCTCTTAACCATTTAAGTTGCTGAATTCTGTGAAACTTTTTTTCACTTTAAAGTTGTTTTTTTTGCTAACTTCTCTCAGATGTAATCCAGGTATTCGAGTCCTAATGTCTCATCTGTCTCTGCTGAGCAGGATGGAGTCGTTCTTGGAGCCGACACACGAGCCACATCCAGCGAAGTGGTGGCCGACAAGATGTGTGCCAAGATCCATTATATTTCCCCAAATATATAGTAAGTTTCAGAAATTTTACATGAAAAACAATGAAAAGAGAAAAGAGGTAGAGCAGATGCTCCATTTAAAGAGACAGTTATCAAGGTTTGCTTCTGACCTTGGGACATTTCCCTGCTATTCTCTCTGACTATTTCCTGTCTAATTATTATCAAAAATGTCCAGTAGTGCTAGGTACTTCATGTCGCTCATTGTGTGTCATAATCCTTAATTTCTCACTGTGTTTTAGTTGCTGTGGAGCAGGAACAGCAGCAGACACAGAGAAAACCACAGAGCTTCTGTCATCCAACCTCTCCATCTTCTCCCTGAACAGCGGGAGAAACCCTCGTGTTGTCATGGCGGTGAACATACTGCAGGACATGCTGTACAGGTCAGTGGTAAACACATGCTGTACATGAATGAGATGGTAAATCGAGATCCTCTTTGCCAAAAAAAAAAAATCAAAATTTTTTCAGTCAGTTTCACAGTTAGTGTTTTATCCCCAGGTATCACGGTCAAATTGGTGCCAACCTCATACTGGGAGGAGTGGACTGTACTGGGAACCATCTATACACTGTGGGTCCATATGGGAGTGTAGATAAAGTCCCTTACCTTGCAATGGGTATGTAATGTGGCACAGCACAAATAATAATTTTGTTTTTTTCATAATATTTGACTATACAGCGTGTTTCAATTCACAGATTTTATTTCTTACTGATGTTGAGTAAGGAGGATTTCCTTTCCATTCACAGGATCTGGTGATCTGGCTGCTCTTGGCATCTTAGAAGATGGGTTCAAACATGATCTAGAAGTATGATACCTGCCAGTGTGTGGAGAGCTTTTGAGAGTGTTGCTGTTTGATTTCAAAATCAAACAAATAATCACTGTGACATTTCAACCTGTGTGTTTATTTGTTCCTTTCTGTCTTGCTCTTGATTTTCTGTCTCAGCTGGAAGAGGCGAAGGAGTTGGTACGAGCTTCCATCCACGCAGGCATCATGAGTGACCTCGGCTCAGGCAATAACATCGACATCTGTGTCATCACCAAGCAAGGAGTGGACTACATCCGACCCTTCCAGGAGTCAGAGTACAAGGACAAGAGGTGTGTAGTTCTAGATATGAGACATATTTATTTACTCCTCATTTCTTTTCTGATCTGTAGAAAAGAAAGAAGAAAAGTTTGTACATAAACCTGATTATGAGTGACACCTTAGCTGGAAATAACCATTTCAAAACCATTTCTCTCTTTCTTTCTCCCAGGAATATTAAATATCGATATCGTCCAGGCACAACTCCAGTCCTGACAGAAAAAGTAGTCAACTTGAAGCTGGAAGTTGTACAAGAAGCTGTGCAGAAGATGGACACTGCCTAAACTACACAACTAAAGAAACAAATTAATATGGCATGAATAATAATAATTTGCATTCTGCTGCTGAACATTTTCAATAAAATCATTTTTAAAACGGTAATATTGACTGTTGTTTTCCTCCTTCATTTTTATGATCAAATAACTTAATCATATATTCACTTTTTCAATATATAAGTAAATATTTTTGATGCACGTTAAAATAATTTACTGCTTTTATATTTTTTTTGTAATAAGTCTCTTGCTGAATCTCAGTCCAGTTTTCTTCCCAAAACCTCCTTGCTGCCTTTCCTCATAGTGACTGATTGTGGTATAAAATAAAGCTCTCCTATTGGCTAATATTTTCCAGGCATTTAATTTTATTTCGGGGAATATTGACACGGTATATTATTAAACAAACTCAATCGGTGAGTTAAGATCTATTTTTGTTGCTTGTGAATGGAGTGTTTTTGGTGAGAAAAGCGAGAAAAATGGACTAAATAAAAAAAACTTTTTTTATTCTTTCACTTTCAGTTTCTTTGTCACGTACAAGGAAATCATTGATCAGCTTCGCCAAACGCTTTCTTGTTTCCAGAGCGTTTGTAGGAATCATCAAACAGCTGCAGGGATTAATTAGGTCTGGTATTTCAGACACCATGGCACTTTTTGAAGTGAGCGGTTTTAAACATTCTGAGGTCCGAGCGCAGATTCTCCCGTTCAGTCAGACTGGGCTTGTGGACCGACCGAACCACTACAGCTTCAACACCAAAACCCAGGAGTTTGCTGTCCCTCTGGGCCAGGACGTGAGTAGAACTTCAACTATTTATAAAAGACAAAAAAAAAAAAAGTTACACGACACCTAAACAAAGCGTCAGTTTTATGGTAATGAGTTATTTCAGTTTCTCTAGTTTTAAGGTGACGTCACGTGTATCTGAAAATACATTTTTCTTAATGGAGAGTAAAATTATACTTTGTTATGAAAGTGACACTGTTGACATGTTATCGCATGACTTATTTAGTTGCGTTGTTTCGTGTCTCCTGTTGATTTGATCCTTGTTGTTGCAGCCCTCTGGGTTTCTGAAGTCCTGCAACCATGACGGAGGAGTTTGCATTGAGATGAACCACGGTACCACCACTTTGGCTTTCAAGTTCAGGCATGGAGTCATCGTGGCCGTGGACTCCAGAGCTTCAGCTGGGAACTACCTGGGTAACATTTATCTCACATCAACATGAAAAGAAAGAAAGAAAGTCGACCAGGAAGAGAACAAATAAAATGCAAGACAATGAATAAGCAATTATGGTTACTTGTGCCATCAATACCTAAAATATTTGACCTGTCATGAGTCAAATGAGCCTGAATTAAGTGGGTTGTTTTAGGACCTCAAACAAAATGACTCCATTTACAAACTTTGAAAATATTTGTCTTTAGTTCATGAAGATGAACTAAATTTAAAGCATTTGTCTCTACCTTAAGCTCTAAAATTTCAGTAATATTCATAGTTGCTAACTTTTTGAGCATCAGTATGCGCTATCTTTCATCTAAACAACAAATTAAAGATTGGTTTTCTTTCATTCTGGCTAATCAGAAACATATTTATTTTCAAGTTAAATCTCAAACCAACAAGCATTTTATTTTTGTTGTTTTTAGTTGGATGAAGAAAAGACCAAAAATGTGAGAAACATAGAAAATATTTCTTACTTAATCAATAAAAATGTGTTTAAGGAGAAGCAGCTGGAACACTGACTTCGCTTAAATCTCAACTAAAAATCCACCTGTTTAGAATTGTATTTGAAACGTAATCAATTACCGATTTAATGGTGGAACTTGACTTAATGTCATGTTTTGATTGTTGATTTTATGTTGCATGAGTTTGTGTTTTTGAGTTTGTAATGATGTAAAGCACTTTGAAATGCCTTGCTGCTGAAATGTGCCATACAAATACAATTTAAATTGATTTTTACATAGAAAAAGAGATGTGCACAATGTAAAACCTGAAGTTTTTGTTATTACAGCTAATTCTAGAGAAAACTGTTTTTGAAGTGAAGTGACACAATGATAACTCCAGCCTTATATCAAGCAGGCACAAAAGCAGTCCCTGATGCAATTTTTATTTTAATTGCCTGTACAGGTATAATTTGATTTGATTCAGGACAATTCTGGGTAAAAAAAAAAAAAAATGAGACCATGAAGATCCTAATTGTCTTCTGCAAGTTGAATTGAGTCTCTCTATATCCATGGAAGATTGTCCATAGTTTGCTTAGCTCTCTTTTCCAGTATTGATTGTAATTCATTGAACCAGTCGGGAAATTATAAGATGCCAGGCCAGCGGAAATTGATATAACAAGAGTCCAAAATCTTAAACTCTATTAAACTTAATCTTTACCGGTTTGTTTATCTGGTGCTTTTACATTTACAGCCTAACATTAAGAACAACAGTTATGTTACTCTTTATTTTATAAACTATTGAATATATTAGCTGTAGGACAATATTTGTGCCTTAATAATTGGAAACAAATTAGCATTATTGGCAGGAATAAACTTAAATAGTCTT